ACAGGTGCTGCCCAATTACCATTTTCTATAATTATCCACAGTATACTAGTACATAGTTCAGGACAAATCAAGTTATCAAGTTCACTAAAGGCCAAAGGCTCATACTGCAACTTATGGGAATAAACAAGTTTTCTCACCAACATGTGTTTTACTGCCCAGCAGACAGAGGTAGCTAGTCCTTCTCTCTAAAACTAACTACAGCTCGTTAGCATTTCATATCTAACCACTAAAGAAAATACTTTTAAAATTATATTCATATGTGCTGGGCGGCCATAGCTCAGTGGTTAGGGCCCCGGCCACATGCTCCAGGGCTGGTGGGTTCGAACTCAGCCCAGGCCTACTAAACAAACAAACAAACAAACAAAAAAATAGCCAGGCATTGCAGCAGGCACCTACAGTCCCAGCTACTTAGGAGGCTGAGGCAAGAGAATCACTTGAGCCCAAGCTATTGAGGGTGACAAAGTGAGACTCTGTCTCAATTTAAAAAAAAATTATATTCATATAGTATTATAAACAATAAGGTAAAATAACTTCTCATCTTTCTGTGGCTCCTCATCAATGATGATGATAAGCATGGACTCAACTATAGTTATCCCAAAGGAAGTAAAATTTTTAAAAAATTAGGATTCCTCTACTTTTTAAACAAAAGATTTTTGTCTCACATCTCCAGATAGGAGTTAAAATGTTAGATAATAATTATCTTAAGAGAAAGGGTATCTTTTTTCATGAGTAAAATGCGATAAAAGACAAAAGGAAAAACTTAACAGTTATTCAGTATTCCAGAACCAGAGCTTTGGTAAAGATGTTAACGGGCTTTGAATTTCAACATTCAAATGTGTGTAAAAAAATACATTCTATAGTAGTTATTTTTTATTAAAAAAACAAATCCACCTGACTTGTTCTATATTTTTAAAAAGAGATAAAATTTTCCCTCCCTTTAACAGAAGATCACTAGAGAAATACATATAGATTTTATATTAGTCTTAAAAAATAAATATTTTTCATACATCCTTATAGGAAAAAAAGTTCAAACAATACAGATAACTATAAAATGTCCCATTTTCCTGACCCCCAGACACATCCACTGATACCACACAATTTAAAGGAAAATTTTAAATGATGCTTTTATAGTATTCTATAGTGTTATCAAATGACTATAATGTTCTCCCCTTCTGCTAACATGAAAAAGAGTTTTAATCTCATATACTCTCACCATATGAAAAATACCTCAAAATACTGCATAACACTAAACACATTATCTGATGTTAATTCACTAATAACATAGCACTGTCAAATGAAAACATGGCTGTATTTTACCTTCAAAGTTCCTCCTTTCACCATAACTTTCTGTCTGGATGGCTGGACTCCAGTCAGCGCAAAGAGCTGAGCCTTGAACACCATTGGAGGTTCATCGGTATTTAATTCTACACCTTCAAATTTCTCCTTTCCCCATTTTACAGTAACTGCAACAAAAATCACAATTTATTGTCATTTATAAGATAACAAAACCTAAGATTCAGAAGACCCTTAGAGGATCAGCTATTAGACTAGTTCTCGAGAGTCCAAGTGTGTCATTCATCTTTCCATGCCCACAATACCTAATCAATGTTGACATACATGTAGTAGGCCTGGAATAAGATTTTAATCAATCTAATCTAACTTCTCTCACTTGATAAATAAGGAAATGAGGCTTTAAAAAAGTTGATCCAGGCCAGGCACAGCGACTCACACCTATAATCCTAGTATTCTGGGAGGCTGAGGCAGGTGGATTGCTTGAGCTCACGAGTTCAAGACCAGCCTGAGCAAAAAAGCAAGACCCTGTCTCTACTAAAAATAGAAAAACTGAAGCAAGAGATGACAGCACAGCCCTCTGCCCTCAGCAACAGCTTGAGACTATTGTCTCAAATAAAAACAAGTTGATCTGTTAATGTCACAAAACTAGTTTGTAAATATCCAAGCCTTCTGCATCTTACTGCAACAATTTGTGCAAAATAATGATCACGCCAAACTATTTCCCAGAATATGGTTCACAGCCTTCACAACATGTTTAATTATTTTATTCACTTATAGAGTCTCACTCTGTCACCCTGGTTAGAATGTTAGGGTGTCATCATAGCTCACAGCAACCTCAAACTCTTGGGCTCAAGATATCCTTTTGGCCCAGTCTCCTGAGTAGCTAGGACTACTGCCATGATGCCCAGCTAGTTTTTCTACTACTTAGTAGAGAGATCTTTCTTTTTTTTTTTTTTTTTAAGACAGAGCCTCAAACTGTCCCCCTGGGTAGAGTGCTGTGGCTTCACAGCTCACAGCAACCTCCAACTCCTGGGCTCAAGTGAGTCTCCTGCCTCCACCTCCCAAGTAGCAGGGACTACAGGCGCCCACCACAACGCCCGGCTATTTTGTTTTTTGGTTGCAGCCATCATTGTTTGGCGGGCCAGGCTGGATTCGAACAAGCCACCTTAGGTGTATGTGGCTGGCGCCTTAGCCACTTGAGCCACAGGTGCAGAGCCAGCAGTGTGGTCTTGCACTTGCTTTTAAAGCAATCCTCTCTCCTCAGCCTCCCAAAGGTGTGAGCCACCAAGAGAAGCCCACAAAGAGTGTAATTAAAGAATCTTTCAAATCAGTACAAGCTGCTGGAAGAAGAGAGAGGGAGAAAAGTCAGAAACACAGTTTAATAGAAGAAAAAAAATTCTTTGAACGCCCAGGAGCAGTGGCTCATACCCATAATCCAAACACTTTGGAAGGCTGAAACAGGAAGATAGAAGGCAGGAGTTTGAGACCAGCCTAGACAACATGACGGGATTCTGTCTCTATAATAATAAAGAAATGAAATTTTAAAATTCTTGAAAAAATGAACAGGTGAAGGAATACAGATTCTGAATCATTAGAAAAGTATGGGAGAATTGTCAAGTTGTCATGCCTGAACAAGAGTTGCTCTAATAGTAAGAAGACTCCAAAAGTATAGCTAAATCACTGAAAAAACAGAAATCTACCCTTTCCTCAGATGCCATCAAAGCATTTATTCCTTCCAAGGATGAGGGAACCCACATGAGGCTCTCACTTCATCAGGCAACTAATAGGGCACCCACCGGTGCCAGCAATGTACTTGCCTGCACCATGGCCTCTGTCTCTGAGTTTGGCTGCGTCTGCTTGGCCTTCATTCTGCAAGAGGGTGAGGTGACCATCAGAGAGGAGAAGATCAATGCCCTCATTAAAGCAGCTGGTGTAAATGTTGAACCCTTTCGGCCTGGCTTGTTCACAAAGGCCCTGGCCAATGTCAACATCAGGAGCCTCATCTGCAACATTGGGGCTGACGGACCTACTCCAGCAGCTGGTGCTGTCCCAGCAGGACATCCTGCCCCTCCACTGCTGCTACAAAGGACCTGGGGAGTCTGATGGGAACACAGACTTTGGTCTTTTTGACTAAATCTCTTTTATAACATAGTCAATAAAAAGTTGAACTTTTAAAATATACAAACAGAAATTCTACTTCACAGTCATTAGGATAGCTATTGTAAAAAAAAAATTTAACAGAAAATAATGTGTTGGTGAAGATGTAGAGAAACTGGAACATTCTGTATAATGCTGGTGAGTATATAAAATGTTACAGCCACTGTGGAAAACAATATGGTATTTCCTCAAAAAACTAAACATAGAATTATCATATAATCCAGCAAATCCACTTCTGAGTATATACCCTGAAGAACTGAAAGCAGAGACTCAGCGCCTGTAATCCTAGCACTCGGAACCTGAGACAAGTGAATGGCCTGAGCTCAGGAGCTCAAGACCAGCCTGAGCAAGAGTGAGACACCGTCTCTAAAAATAGCCAGGCATCATGGCGGGCACCTATAGTCCCAGCTACTCGGGAGGCTGAGGCAAGAGAATCACTTGAGCCCAGGATTTTGAGGTTACTGTGAGCCATGACACCATGGCACTCTACCAAGGGTGACTATCTCAAAAAAAAAAGCCCAAGAAGCAGAGACTCAAATAGATATTTATACACCCATATTCACAGCAGCATTATTCACAATAGCCAGGCATTCACCACCATAGCGAGGGATAAACAAAATGGGGTACCTATATGTAATAAAAGATTATTCAGCCTGCCTTAGAAAGGAAAAAAATTCTCACACATACAACATATGTGAATGAAAAATAAACCAGTCTCAAGAGGACAAATACTATATGATTCCACATATAAGGCACCTAGAGCATCACACTTAAGAGACAAAAGGAGAACAGCAGTTGCTAGTGCCAAGAAAGACAGAAACCAAGAGATTCTGTTTAATGAGGTACAGAGTTTCAGTTTGGGAACATGAAAAAATTCTGGAGGTAGGCTCAGTGCCCATAGCTCAGTGAGTAGGGTGCCGGCCACATACACTGAGCCTAGAGGGTTGGAAGCCAGCCTGGGCCTGCCAAACAACAATGACAACTGCAACCAAAAAATAGCCAGGCATTGTGGCAAGTGCCTGTAGTCCCAGCTACTTGGGAGGCTGAGTCAAGAGAATTGCTTAAGCCCAAGTGTTTGAGGTTGCTGTGACCAACATCTACATTAATAAAAACTGTAGCATTGCTCTGTACCAGGCACACAGTAGGTGTTCAATAAACTTTTTAGGGGGAGGCAGAGTCTCACTTTGTCTCCCTCAGTAGAATCCTGTGAAATCATAGCTCACAAGTAGGAACAACTTCTAAGAGAAGGAGTTTGAGACCAACCTGGGCAACACAGAGAGAGCCTGTCTCCACAAAAATATGTAAAAATTAGCTGGCTGAGTGGCACAAATCTGTAGTTCAAACTACTCAGGAGGCTGAGGCAGGAGTACTTGAGGCCAGGAGTTGAAGACTACAATGAGCTATGACCATGGCACTGGACTCCAGTCTGAGCCACAGAGAAAGACCTAGTCTCAAATTTTTTTAAAAAGTAGTAAAGTTATTACTTTTTCTTTATTTAGTTTTGTATTTATTTTTAGAGACAGGATCTTGCTCTTGGCCCAGCTAGCCTCAAATGCCTGGGCTCAAGTGACCTTACCACCTCTGCTCCTACAGGCATCCACCACTATGCCTGGGTTCAATAATTTTTAATTGCACTTATCCTTAACCATTTAAGAATCTGGATAATGTGGGCTCTCGTCTATAATCCTAACACTCTGGGAGTTGGAGGCGGGTAGACTGCCTGAGCTCACAGGTTCAAGACCATCTCGAGCCAGAGCGAGAACCATCTCTAAAAATAGCCGGTGCTATGGCAGACACATGCAGTACCAGCTACTCAGGAGGCTGAGACAAAGAGAATCTCTTGAGCCCA